CACCTCATTCTATCACCTTATATATATATAGATTCCAAAGCTTATTAAATGTCAATTTGGTCTTTAAATTCTTTTGATATCGGTTGAAATAACCCCTAATAAGGATTATTTTACCCTCCGTTAAAATAGTTTTGGGACTAATATAAAATTTTTATAAACTTTGGGACGAAAATGGTCTCATCTAAATAATCAGGGGACTATTTTAGCACTTCACTCCTTATATTACTTCTATGATATGCTCTGCCATGGTGATGAAGAAGACATTTTTGTTAGAAAGCAGATCATGTGAGGTTGGTATCTGAGGGAATTGAAAGGCTTTTTTGTCTAGTTGGAACTGGAAGAAAAAAATATGCTATGTACAGTATTAGTTTGTATATTATGAATTATACAATTTTGTTATCAGCTGCATGTTCTCCATTTTTTTCACTTGAAGGGGTTCATGTTACAGACGATTTTTTTTTTGGTCTTTTTTGTTGGAAATCATAGAAATTTACAGTTTGATTTGATTAATGAACTTATTAGTGTGTTAATGATTCATCATTTGTAGATGCAATAACATGTCTTTAAAAGAAACCAACAATGTCAGATCGGCCACAAGAAATTATTTTTTAAAAACTAAAAAAAAAATATTTTAAATTTTTTTATTTTAACTAGACTATCTATATTTATTATAAATAATTTATTTTCATTAAATTTTTAAGAAAATAATAACCTTTTCTTAAAACAACAACATATTTTTACCTAATATGGAAAGTATAAACAAATCTCTAATTTATAAAATTTTAAAATTATATATAATATAGCATTATACTTTAACTTAACAAATTAAATTATTTCTTCAAATCCACAATTTATTATTTATCTTTAACAAATTTAAGTTTCCATCCCATGCTATCTCCTGCCATAGTGTCTATTCGTCTATGAAATTACGCACGAGATATACCCTATTCACCTCTGTTTCAGCTGCAAACTGCACAATCCTTTCTCTTGTTTGTTCTCTCGTATCTACCTGGCCCCCCAAGGCCTTTCTCTATCACACGAAGATGTCTCTCTCTTCGCTTTGTTTATCTGCCTTGCCTCTTTTATATCTCAATTTGATTTGATGCAGGGGACCCGTATCTCTAAATAGTAGAACCACACCTTTTATTCGCTTTATCATTTTATAATATGATAAAACCGCATGCTGTTTCTCTTGCTTCCTCTTCCTATTCATTTCTTCCACTTCATCTTGTCTAATTGAAGTGGTGTTAATCGGTTCCTAAATTCTCTGGTGTTACACTAGAACTAAAGGCATTTTGCATCGACCATTTTCATTTTGGTTGATACGACAAATACCATTGACATGGTGAGTGTCATTGATTGTCATTGCTGATACTTCCTTCCTTGCAAATATGCCATGCTTCAGGCTCATAGTCACCCTTTTACTCCTAGCTATGGTACTCTGACATTGTTGATTTCTAAGTTTTGAATGTGAAAATTAGAGGATTGTGTTAGGCAGTCAACTGTCAGCGTAAAATTATTTAAATAATTGCAGCAAAAGTTCGAATTTTAGCAAATTTTTCAATGTCGTATGAGATTTATTTATTTATTTTTGATTGGATAATTTTTTTAATTGCTATTAGAATAGTGAATTAGATTATTAGAAATTATAAATATTTCAAAAATTAATTTAAAAAAAAAACAATTTTTGTCAAACAATCGTTGTCATATTTCATGTTGCGCCAGGTCAAAAGTCTAAAAGGCTCGGCCAGCATAAAAGATTATTAGCATGAGTAATGAATAATGAATTATATACATGTTTAAGGAGGCTATAATGAACTTTCATTTTATCTTAATGAACCATTAGCATGTCAAGAATTAGCTCAAGTTTTATCAAACCAAAACTTAGTTTCTAAATTCCAACCAACATGTTCGCATTTGTTGCAATTTTAGGTGCAGAGTGAGTGCTCAAACCCAACACCTCATCAATCTTCACTTTATTTTTAACTAATGTGTGCGACACATTCAGGCACATTTAGAACGATTTTGCCATTAATTTCATAGGTTGAGGGCTTATATTCATTTAACATAATGTTTGACATCATCCTCGTGTATTTAGAATGCAAGAAAAACATAATTATCCCTTCTTTAAATAAATAAAAGGAAAGATAATCATAAGATGCATTCGCATATACTATAATTGTATGCTAAATATGGGCTGAGGTTACAATATCAAGTGATGGTTAACAACAATAGAGGGAGAGAATTAGCTATTAAAAATACTTTTATGCTGCTCAACTCCAAGAGGCCCGTAAAATTCTCAATAAAAAAAATAATTAAAATTAAGTTTTAAATAAGGAAAAAAAAACTTTCACGTAAAAAAAAAAAAAAAAAAAAATACATCAAGACCAAGTCTTTAGATCTCCACTCTTTAGTTTTGAAATAAAAAAATCTAACAGCTTGAACGAATCCAAATAACTCAAACATGAGCCAGATCGAGCAAGATTAAGTTCAATCCAGGTTGGCTTAAAATCAAACATAACAAAGGCGCAAACAGATTTCAATGCAAACTCAAATAAATCCATTCAATCCAATTTCAAGCCAGGCTCATCTAAACTTGAAATCAGTAATACTCCCACCTCATTCTATCACCTTCTAAAGACAAAATCTTACAAACAAAGCAGCATTCATGGAAAATAATCCATCAGCCAAAGCTAATATATCCTGTATATGAGAACTTACCAATGGAAGGGGACGAAGTAAATGTATAGATCACTCAAGTTGTTGATGATGGTATCAGCCATTCACCAAGAAAAATGTCAATTTGATGCATTGATTTCACATGAAAGCCCAACAGAATAAACTTTACAGATTCATAAGATGAAAAAATAAATATGGCAAACAGTCAGAATTTGGATTTGAGATAAAAAGGGAGATAGATCAGCCTACATGATTGGAATTGAAATTGGAATCGGTGGGTTCAGTTGTAGCTTTTGTTGTTCTTTAACCCATAGCATATTTCTGAGTCCAGCTCCTGGCAGTGGTCTCATATTTGGCCCTGTCAGTCTTGTACATGTGGGCAATTTCTGGAACCAATGGGTCGTCCGGATTTGGGTCTGTCAGGAGAGAGCAAATCGAGAGCAGAACCTAACCAAAAGAGAGACAAAAAAAATAGTAATCATAATATAAATTTACAGCCTTTTTTCGCTTTTAATAATTGAATTAAGTTTGGCCTAATTCCCAGCAAAGCAAATACTTGAGATTGTAACTAGAATTTATTCAAACTGCAAAGCTATCTTTTCAAACCATGGGTGTCCTGAAAACTCTATGTTAAATATTCCTGGCATATGAATAATTCAAATAATGGTTATGAAAAAAGAGGATATTTACAAGCGAACTACCACACAATTCTAATGTATTTACATATCTAACACCTAAACTTTTCTTACATTTATGCTAGCCAAATCTTTCATACCACATAAAAAATACCGCTGTTTTAAATTTTAAAAAGTGAAATGAACCTTTTCATGCCTGAGAATTGAGTGGTATGCGTGTCCATCTTCCAACACAAAAAAAAATAAAAATAAAAAAAGAAAATAAAAAAAAAGAGTTTTGCAAGAAGTCCGAACTCAGTCAACATTTAAATCTTGACAAAAATTTTAAGGATCCTTCTGGTGAAAAACAAGAGGAATTTACTTTATATAATCATGCCAAAACCGTATCATAATGATTTTAGAAGTGGAGGCAGACAATGTCCAAATAAAAAACTAATTATTATGCATTCAAATTCATTAAAAATATTCATAATAATACTAATAAACATTTTTAACCTTGGAAATGGTTAAGGCAGGACTCCATTGTTCCTTTAAGATGTCTAAGCAAATACTCCCATTGCTATTAATATTTGGATGAAAGACCTTTGTCCTGAAAGCTACCTGCAAAACATCCCCAACAAAAAGTTAATGCACATTTCATATTTTTTGAGTCGTCATCAGCGCTTCTCTCATTTACAAACATTAATTTTTTATCACAAAATTATATGAAAACCTAAGATGATGAAATTGTTGTCCCACCTCAATTAGGATCTGAAGGCAGAGAAGAAATGCTTACAATTTTGTTGACAGAAGCATGAAAAGATGAAGCAAACAAAATATTTCACAGCGCTGGAACAAGTCATTTGGATAATGGTTGTCATTAAAAAGGAAAATTACATACACACCACACAACTCTTATGTATTTACATAACCAACTCCTAAATTTTGTCATAAACACCACACAACACTTATGTATTTACATAAACAACTCCTAAATTTTGTCATAAACCTATGAATGAAAATGTACTTTCACCTTTAAAAACTAGGTGGCAGTAGTATCTTTGATGTAATATTAAAGCGTTTAGTGTTATACATAAATATATAGAAATTTTGGGGTTAGGTATGCAATTACATAAGAATTTTGTTGCATTTATTATGTACATGTTCCTATTGAAAATAGTAAATAAATAAATAATATATGGCACCTTGATATATCAATTTATAAAAAAAAAAGTTGAAATGGTTGCAAAATACCCCGAAAGATCAAAAAGGCTATCCAAACTTGAAACACAGTTTTCTAACCAATTATCTAAAATGAATGAATCATCAGAAACGGTAAAAATGCCATCACACATTTAAAAACAAATAACTATAAAGGCAATTGGCGATCACTTATAATTTTTGTTTTCTATCACTTATAATTTTTGTTTTCTATTGAATGTTTTTTTTATATTTTAATTTGAAATAAAGCATATTTGACATAGTAAAAATAAATCGATTTGTTTTTAAAAACACTCAAATAATTTATTAATATTTTAAGTGTTTCTAAAAATAAGTTGATTTCTTTTTAAAAATTTTAAAAAAATAAAAGTACAGGAAAAATACACTAAACAAACATATGTTCAAAAATAAAAATAAAAAGTAAAAACAAATGTGACCCAAACATTCCCAAGGGATTAGACCAGATCTTTGGTTCAAAAATTTATCTCCCAAATCCTTAAACCCCTTTAATTCCATCTTTTCCACCCTTTAAATCATTAACATCATCTATTTTATTTCTTCTTATAACGTGCCTGTGCCAGTCAGCCTCCATTCCCAAACGCAGAAATCCATCTCCCAGCACGCACCAAAATAAATCAATATCATTAGCACAACCCTACCCAACAATAGCGTGATTGCAGCCTTGCATATGAATAAGAGGGCAGGTGAAAAAGAGAGGCAAGCCCATAAATACCACTAGAGGTTCAAAGATTGGTCCACATATAAATTTACAATTGGTTCAGCTTTTATACAAAAAACCAAATTAAAGCTCTTAACTTTTTTTTAATATTCATATTAAATAAGAGAATTACTAGTACATAAATTGATTGGATCAATAGCAAATTTAAGTATACAGTTCGTACTCAATTTTGAACAGCCACAAAAGTGGATAAAAAAGATGTAATGGAAGCATTCATCCAGCAAAGAAATAGCAATTGCATAATATGATATAAACTGGGACAGGATAATAATGCAAGGAAATATTTTGATTCTCCATACCTTTTTTTACCTTCTTAGTATGCTTTTTTACCTTCCTAGTATGAAGGTGATTCATGTCGCAGACCCACTCCTCATGTTCGTGTGTGGCAATTATAGATAAATAGAGGAGTCAGTGACGTTTCAATTTTGAAAGTCCCAAGGTATGATTGAAGGAGGTCTTTGTGGATCGTTCAAGTTTTACAGCATTGTAAGCTCAAGGAAAATGTCAAAATATGGTTAGAAGTAAATCTTTTTTCCTATTCACAATTTTACCACCACAATTGGAATGTGACATTTTTTTAAATTCGTTCATTTCAATATGTTTTCTACAATAAAAGTTTCCTCTCTATATTTGTTGATCAAAGACGTGTCAACTTGCTGAACATTATATAGTTCTCTTTCCTAAAAAATGAATCCAGATCATCTACTCATTTCATAATACAAGTTAAAAACCTTCAAAACTCCTAATATTTCTAAACTAAAAGGATTTATCGCATTCACGAAAGACATAATTAGGATAAAGCGTTTATCTTATCAAATAAAAATCTAATCACAGTCACATTCTTCCACTCTTTATCTCTATGACCAAATTAAAAAAAAAAATTCAATTAGGGATCAAATTCAAAATTTTAGTAATAATACTGATTAAAATTATTATAATCAGCTTATATCTTTTTTCCTCAAGAAAGAAAGTATACTAATCATCTTGCTCTGACAAGGCGAAACCACAAAATACAAAGGGAAGACATTTAAAAAAAAAAAACTAAATACCTTTACAAAGTTAACAGAACTTCTCGCTTCCAAAATCAAGCTTCCCAAATATATTGGGAAGTAACCGTCCAAATTTTCACATATCTGGTTTTAAAAAAATTACCTTCAAGTAATTAATTTCAAAAATCTCCTAAATTATCTTTCTGAGTGTTATTCCCACAAAAAATTCTCATAACTTCCTCCAAAAATTTACAATTGTACCATATGTTCAAATGCATAAATAAAATCGAAATAAACTTAAGTTTTTGTAGAAGATTAATCCACTTAAAAAGGGTACAAATATTATCATTTAACCACCAAAAAGTAAATTCTTCACTTCAAAGGATGTCACTTTTAATATAAACAATTTTTTTTCACTCGGACTTAAACAGTTTTTTTTTTTAAATTAATCACTTGAAAGTTAACAGAACTTCTCGCTTCCAAAATCAAGCTTCCCAAATATATTGGGAAGTAACCGTCCATATTTTCACATATCTGGTTTTAAAAAAATTACCTTCAAGTAATTAATTTCAAAAATCTCCTAAATTATCTTTCTGAGTGTTATTCCCACAAAAAATTGTCTCGAAACTTCCTCCAAAAATTTACAATTGTACCATATGTTCAAATGCATAAGAAAAATCGAAATAAACTTAATCCCAAGGCACTTAGTGTGTTTTTGTAGAAGATTAATCCACTTAAAAAGGGCACAAATATTACCATTTAACCACCAAAAAGCAAATTCTTCACTTCAAAAGATGTCACTTTTAATATAAACAGTTTCTTTTTTCACTCAGACTTATCTCCAAAGGGAAAAGAAACTAAAGGAATCATCTTGCTAATTTTTCCCCACAAATAATTTTTATCATTACTTCTTTCCAAAAAAATTTTATTATATCATGTGATCACATTCACAAAAAACATCAAGATAAACATGGTCCTAGAATACATAAGTGTGTTTTTGTAGTATCCATTCACTCAAAAAGGTATAATGATACCCCATCAACCAACAAAAGGTTTTCAATTAAAAAATTACAAAGTTTGATTAAAAAAAAATTATTCACTCTTAGCTTGTCTTCGAGGGGAGAACAGCCAATCAAAGAAAATTTTGATGAACTCAAAATTTATTCTCTTAATATTCCATCTACACAACATTAAAGCAATACATTATTCCTATCACTAAACCTCTTCCAAAATCTACAAGAAAGACAATGCCCAGTCAGAGTCTACAATAAGCTTTAAGATTCAAAATTGACCTCCATAACCTAATATGCATCCTTTTAAATAAAGCTTTCCTTATAAAATATATAATATACCTCCATCATAATACTACAAACCCTATGTTAAACGCTAAAAAATAAAAATTTGGAAGAATATCATGAGAGGAGATGAATGTCCTCAAAAAGAAAAATGCTAGCTAGATCATAGAGCCACAAAAAGAAAAAAAAAAAAGTTGTATGATGCAAGTGGATTTTGTCATTTAAATATAAAACTAATAAAAAGTTTGAATGGTATAATACAAAAGTAATAGCAAAAGTTTATGCTCAATTTTATGGAGACTACCAAGAAACATTTTCTTTTATTGCAAAATTGAATATAATTCACATCTTAATTTTTCTGGCTATGAAAATATACATTTTTCTAGGGAGGCATTGAAAAAAATTGATATGGATTCTGTACCAGAATTGAACAACTCTTTTACATAAAATAAAGTGTATAATTTATTTAAGAAAAAACACGTTATGGTCTTAAACAATCCATAATGGCATGGTTTGGTAGAAAACAATCAAGTATGGAATGTGCTATAAACAAATCCAAGGAGATCATATATACCTTTCATAAAAGGTACCACTTAAAAATATTTCAATCAGTACTACTATTATTGCGTGTGCATATCATAATAATAATAAAAAAAAAAGATTTACTCAAGAAAAATATCATAGCAGAGTTTGAAATTAAGAAATGGCAAGCTCAGATACTGCTTGGTTATAGTGCTGGCTCATTCCAAAAAAAACAAAAATGAATTCCTATACCTCAGTAAAAATATAATATGGATTATTTAAGATAAATAAAAAAGAATGATTACAAACCAATTGAGACATCAATTGATGTCAAAAGTTAGACGCAAATAAAAAAGGAATAGGGATTAGCATTGGTCAATAAAAAAAAGTAAGTTAAAAACTAATCTACCTCACACACATCCCGACATAATTTTTTGTTACAAGTCTCATTAGTTGATTCATTAAAAAAACAAAGAAATCTCGTCCTCAAGTTACTTTCAGGGTTCTGAAGTATCTTAAATTAAATTATGAAAAAAAGCCCTATAAAAGTCATAAAACCCCTATGAATTGAAAGTTATACTAATCCTGATTATGTAGAATCACCAATGGAAAAGAGATCTGCTTTCGAATATTGTACACTACTAAGAGAAAAACAAATCTGATAACTTAAAAGAAGCAAGTAGCAACATATCATCTCAAGATCAAGAACTAAATCTGAATTCAAAGTAATGACTAGAAGTACCTATAAACTCCTACGAATTAAAATTAAACAACAATGTCTAAAAACCAAATGGAAAAGACTAGCGAGAGTATATTATGATAATAAATATGTTAACAAAGTTACACAATCTAATACAATATCATCAAACCAAATATACTGAGGCGAATAAGCATCTCATAAAATCAAAACAAAAAATTAAGTTAATTTGAACTCCATACGAAATCAACTGTAGACATATTAAGCAAAAGTTATACAAATTTGCATTAAAAAATATATAATAAACAAACTTTAGAATAGTAAATTTCTACCATCCATTTGATAGAGATTATTGAGGGTATTGGAATTGTTAAAGAAGAAATAAATGAAGCCACTGATTCATATGTAAAAGATGAGGAATATGTGCAATATCGGTTACATGAATTGATGTGCAAGATATGAAAATGAGTGTTCGCATATTGCTCTCTCCTTCAACGGATCAAGATTGACAGTTCTGGATAACAATTTTAATTGTCAAATTCATTGCAATTATTAATTTTCAATTATTTTTAAGTTGTTTTATGTACAAATAGCTATAGAGTGAATGAACAAAGCATGTTTTCTAGCCATTTCTTTTTTCCTATAATATGTGTGTGTGTGAGCGCGTGCTATAAGATTTAAAAATCAAATGAAAGCAAACTTTAATGATATACTGTGAGAATACGCCTGCCGTCACACAATCCAATACAATTTAATATATCAAACATGTGATGCATAAATATTTCATAAAAGAAAGACTAAAAAGAAGGTTAATTTGCTTTCTACATGTGCCAACAAGAAATCAACTTGCCAACATGGTAACCAAAGAAACTTCGAAACCTATATTTTAACTACTATGAATTATAAATTATTAAAAAATATAAAAAATCAAATCGAAAGAACTTATGAAAATATATTTTGGCAATAAGTTTGTCATTAGCATTGCCTACAATCCAACACAGTATGATCAAACACGTGGGGAATAATAGCCATTTCATAAACCATTTCAAAACCAATTCAATGCCATATCTACCAAAGATGCTTTGCAATCCTACATTCAAAAAATAAGCAAACACGGAATAGTTTATTTCTATCATTCAATTCAAGGGAGCTTTGAAAAATTTATGATTGTGAAGTAGTGAATGATAGTAGCCATGGATTCATGTGCTGAATAAAAGAAGTCTCAAAAACTCATGTGCTTGGCATGAGAAAATAAGTGCAACGGATTCAAGTGCTGAATAATGAAAGAAGTCTCACAAACTCATGTGCTTGGCATGATAAAAAAAGTGTCACAAACTCGTAAACTTAACCTGAAAAAAAAAGTGTCACAAATTGCTCCATCATTTGACCAACCAAAAAACAAAGTTCTGAGCAACGATTTTAATATTTAAATTATTTACAGCAATTAATTTTCAATTCTTTTTTAGTTAGTTTCATGTATTAATACCTATTAGTTGCATGAAAAAATCAAGTCTTATAGCCACTCCTTTTATATGATACATAGATGAAATTGTATTGTATTCATGCGAGCAAAGGTGGCATGTTGGGTAGAATACAAAGCGATCATGCACGCAAAATGTCCATGCATGCAAGCTTAATTCTAGTCAACAAGCCAAAGGCAATCACCCTTGAATTAATTATGCCTCAAACAATCAAGAAAAGTAAAGAGTCAAACTAATTGGGGTCTAAATCATGTAACCAGTGATGAGAACCCAACTCGAGCCAAAATTGATTTAAAACCATTCACTTTGCTTAAGTTAATTATCGAAGAACAAGAGGCAAACATACAATCAAGATGCATGAATAGAAAAATGTTAAGAGTAAAAACCAATTTGAGATGGATGTAAAACAAGTGACTTTATTTTTTAAATTAGAGATGCATTTGAAATTTTGTCCGATGTTTGTAGAATATACATTTGAAGGTGATCACCACTCTTGATGTGTTTGTTTTTTTTTTCCGAGGTATTTAGTTTTTATGTAATAAGCACATAACAATATGTTTGTGTGTGCGAGTGCATGAATAAAATGAACAAAGTAATATCATGTAATAAGGATTGTAATGAAATTTGATAAATTTATCTTCCTTGGATATTGATTTATTTTCTTTGGTATTGGTATAGTTCTTTTGGTGGTGATTGATTTATATTCATCTATATCATTTCAATATTTATTTATCCACTATAGAAGCATGGCTTGCCTGTCTTCTCTATCCCAAGTCCGATGAAACAAAAAAAAAATTCATTTGCATGTTGGAGGCTTTAGGGGTTCAATATGTCCGAACACAAGTGTGCTAGCTTAAAAATCAACTCCAAGTAGAGCCAAGCTAGCTCGCAATAGACAGCAATAGCGACACAATTGGTTTCCAGTCATGGATGATAAATTCAACTGAATCCTTAGTCCAAGTTAAACCAGCCCAATGTTGGAAAGGTTGCACAACAAAATTGAGGCTGAAACTAAGACCAAGGTTGGCAAAGTATGGCAGATTCATAAAATTCCAACCTTACATTTCCATGTAAACCACACAATTCCTCACAATAGCAACTGTAGGGATAAATGCCATAAAAAAGGGTAGATTTGTATGTATAATCAAATAAAAAGGTTCCACCCTTGCATTTCCATGGAAACGACCAAATTCCTCACAATAGCAACTGTTGGGATAAATACCATAGAAAAGGGTAGATTTGTATGTATAATCAAATGAAAAGAAGAATAGGTGCACCTCCTAATTCCTAAGTTTTAGATTCTTCTCAAGGCAAAAAGATGCACATCTGGCGACAGAAAAATCAAACTATATTAGAATCAAACTATATTAGAATCAAACTATATTAGTTATTTTTTCCAATTTATAAAACTAAAACCCTAGTTCGTCAAAGCATATCATCATAAACTGATTTTAAGTTGTAAGAAAAAATTTTACGTTAGTTGTAGCTTAAATGATGTACATATTCAAAAAATTCTAGAATACAATAATCTAAATGTAATAGATATAAATGAATATTAATTCAAGCAAACATGGACATATAATGAATAATATAATGGCAAAAGGCTTGTTGTTGTATGGACATATAATGGATGTGCTATGGGATAAAATTAAATTATAGAGGTTGAGATTGGAGGCTTAAATTGTAGAATAAAATTTTGCAAAATTGCATTAACCAAATGTCCTGGATCAAGATTGTGGCAAAAAGAATTTGTACCCAAGTATACCTTAGGTGGTTTAAAGGGATAATCAGGGGGGAAATGGATGGTGACTAGAAATACTCCTCCAGCATATGGGCTGTCAGGAGGACCCATTATTGTTGCTTGCCAGTGAAACATGTCCTCAGCAACCGGACCTGTCCAAAAGAATGCATGAAAAATCATATTGTAATACACAATGAAACCATTAGAAGACTTGCTCTTAAGCTCAACAAAAAGAAATAGGTATGCAGCAGTCCTAACAACCCTCCTTTGTTTAATGGGTCAAGGAATTAGTGTAATCCTTTCATGGATCAACTCATGAGTTTTACAATTGGCTACCAACATAACATCATCCTACATCCCATCTCATTCATCCGTCTTCAAGCAATCACAACAATGCACATTGCAAAAAAAAAAAAAGGTAATCTATATATAAGAAGTGAGACCATTTAAGGAAAAAATATGTGACCCAAAAGTAGTGAGGTTGTCCCTCGTATGGTTCGCATGTAACTGGCATAAACCTTTAAAAAATGCCATTCTCAGTAAAGTTCAGCTCTTACAATTCCAATATCCAAAAATAACGAAGAATACAAAAATAAGAATTTGAAGACATCACAGCTCCAGTGATGTTTGGGCACTCTTTTATTCCTAAAACCACATTGTAAATGATCAATCAAAAGCTCTAACTCTCAAGTAAAAAATAAAAACTAATCCAAGACTGGCATTAATTAGGAACAGTAAGAAAATAGGTCAATGAAAAGCGCAGCCATCCACAACAAAAACAATCCGTCAGTTGTCTTTAATTGCTTGATAATCCAATTGAGAACCTCAATAAAAATTCATAAAATATTTCCAAACCATTCTAACCTCAAATTTTCTCCTGCGCAATAACATTGAGAGGTTGGCTATGGATCATTTCATTCATGATCAAAATAAGATACAAAAATCTGAAAAATCCTCTCATGCAACAGTTTTTTTTTTCACTTCCGAACAGAAATAACAATGTTCTACATTTCATGATGGTTCATTAATAAGCACCACATCCACCATCTTCGCCTACAACTACTGCAATTAAATTTTAATTTGCTCGAGACAGGTATGATAAAAACATCCGCCAACAAATACTACAGAAAGTAAAGATCCATATTTATTAAATTCACTCCCTTGTTGGATTTTATTTTCTTATGTTTGCCTGGATTTAGTAAATCCTGACCATAAATACTGTTAACAAAGCCATACCAAACACCACCTTAGCATGCTTGCTATCATTCAACTGAAAGACACTGACATCAACGGCAAAAATATAAAATAAGCCAAAAACCCATAACATTAAATTAGGCTCTACCTACTAAAAAATATAAACTGCTAAGAACCAATGAAGCAGTTCAAATCACCTCAGTCTAAAGATACTCCACCAATTGCTAACAGCCATCAGATTACTACAGAAAAGAGATGGCAAATCCAAGTCACTCCTAACTATCTTGGCATGCAGCTGCCTCCTCTTTTCAAAAGTGATGGGATAAACAGTTGCGCATTTTCTCACACATATTTAACATGCCGATTAGTAATTAAAAAACCGCAACAAACCAAAAAAAAATATAAATATGCTCGATCAACGGCGATCCATCTGTCAATAATAATTGTGTGGAAAAAAAAAAGGCAATCCTACACTGGGATTCACAGCTCAAAAACATACAACCAAGATCCAGACCTACTCTCACGCGATCAAAGAAACGTCTCGAAATCCCCGGAAATCATACAAAACAAGATCGAGCAATAGGGTTTCCAATCTAACACACCTGCACTGCAGGACGTCGGAGGATCCTTCTGCAGATCCTTCAATTCCTTCAAGATCCGCTTCGATGCCATCAGCAAATGACCTAAACACGCAAACAAACACAAAACTAATACGAAATTCGATCCAGAAAGAAACCAAAGAGATAAAACAACAGATTCGTGCACCTAAAGCTTTCGGATAAGTTCCCGCTTGACGGACGCCGCCGGCAAGGAAACGAAGCGGAAGAAGGAAGGGCGTAAACGTGCTCCTCGCCGGACACGAACCAGATGGCTAAATATAGAAATCGATTTGGAGGGCAAAGGTGTAATTATACGTCGCGTGGGCGGTGGGGACTAGTGAGTGCTTGCCGCGTTTGCTTTGACGGCGGAGATTGCGTGCGAGCTACGCTTCTGCTGAACGTACGGCCACGGGAGAATATATTTTGCCTTCAAAATCTTAGGGAAAAATATTATAGGGCTCTCACTTATTGTTATGTTCGAAATTCAATAAAATAATGTCATATAAGATTTACAGAAAAAAATATTATTTTAATCTAGGTAAATATTTTATCCGTGTTATTATATATTATTCATGTGTTATTATGACGATATTCATGTATTATTATGTTCTGATAATATTTTCGGTGTTATAATAACATAATAAAACTTGAATACCACCACAATAACACCTGAATAATGCAGAATAACACAGGAGGAATATTTTCATGTGTTACCAGGCCGAATCACAGGAAAGCGTGCGCGTTTTCTTGAAGTCGCGTGCCAGCATATCAGTAGACTTTGAACGTAGCTTTAAGTTAGGAGTTCTGATGTAATATTTTTCCAAAATCTTAAGGCATTTACACAAAATGCCCACCAACCTAATTTCTATATAACATGTGCTTGGGAATTTTACATTCCTGACATTTTAAACCTCTACTATTACATATTTAATATCAAAAATTTACTCTAAATATTACATGTATAACATCCCAACTAAACGATGATTTGTGAAATTTTATTATTAATAGTTGAACTCTCACCTAACAAAGTTTTCTCTATTTTGACCTAATTGTCTTGTAATTTTACCCCCATTGGTGTAATTTCGTAGGACGTCACTCGTCCTACGAGTGGCCCCATACGAGCACACATAACTTTAGAATTTTCACCGAAACCTAAATGTTTAAGAGTTCAGTTTCATTTTACTTGAGGGGTTTTATAATCTACTCCACTTACGTCCCCATTTGTAATCGTAGCTCATAATCAAACAATATACAAATATTTCTATATTCATACTGGTAAAATGCTCTCATGTCATCTGTAACATAATGAAATCCCACCATCAAGTATTGTCCACTTCAGTCTAATGGTCTTATAATTTTACCCTATCGCTATAACTTTCCATAATGTCACCCATCATTTGAGTGATCTCATATAAGTATGCTTGATTTTTGAGTTTCTAATGAAATACAAACATTATGCCAAAAGATGCATCAAGGATTAAGAATCTAGTTTCATTTTACTCCAGAGGTTTCATAGTCTTCGCTATTTAAGTATACGACCTCACTGTCAGTGAGCTTAGTATAGAATCATCCATCACGCAAATATTATATCTTCAGAGTAATGTAATACTTTGATATCATTTGTAAAAGCACAAACTTTCAACCATCAAAGTATTGTAAGCTTTGCCCTATTGGCTTTCTGATTTTGCCCTGTTGACATGACTTATAAGGAGGTCAACAATTCTTCGAGCGCTTGTGCGAGCACACTTAATTTTAAAGTTTATATTAAAATTTTACTATTACTGCAAAATGCGTCTCAATCTTTAAGAATTCAACTTCATTTTACTCAGGGGTTTCACATCAAATCAATTGTATGAGAATGATGAGCATTGAAAATGACAATGTGAATGCAAGCATCATTCTTGTTGAACATAGGCCACTTCATATGCTCTCATGTAACTAAAAAAATAACAAGGATCCAAAATCATTAATCAAAATGAAAAATTTATCAAGGGTGGATACACTAATTGCAACGCTATTGTGAAAATTGCGTATGGAACGGTGGGGCTCACAAGTAACGGTGGGGCTCACAAGCCAGCCCAACGAGGCGGTGATGGCTAGAATTGTAGCTATGGGTCTAATATTTAAATGTTTAGGCTTTAAACTTATGATTTTATATTTATATCAATCAAATATTTAACATCACATAAAAAATATCACTGTTTTAATAAAAAAAAAAAAAAAGCATCTTATTATTCAAACACAAGAATAATAGTCGCTCCATTTACAGCCTAATTGCAGCTGATTGGAAGCAGCCCATGTTAGCTTTGTAGGGTTTACGTCTCCTGCTCTCACTCTCCGAGGTTCTAGCCATGGAGTACATCAACCCGCTCACCGGATTTCGGTTAGATGGCCGCCGTCCCAACGAAGTAACATTCTCCGACTCATCCTCTTTCACACAGCCACACACTCTGCACAAATGCGAAACTACGATCTTAACTGCGAGCCTTGATGCTTTGAATTCCAGATGAGGCAAATCCGCGGGGAAGTCGGCGTTGTTGCCAGGGCAGACGGGTAAACCTTCTTTTACGTTCTCATCGCATGTTTGAGTCCAATTTTGGCGGGTTCTAGTTCTCATTTGATGTCATCTTCATTGCAGCTCTGCTGTTTTTGAAATGGGAAACACCAAAGTCATTGCTGCTGTGTATGGGCCGAGAGAGGTTTTCCCTCGTTTCTTGTTCTCAATAATCCATTTTATTTCTTGGTTGCAATTTAAAAGTTTAGCTTCGGGGCTGAAATCGGTGTTATTGATAATTTCTTAGTTAATATCTGCTCATTTTGCTCGGGAGTGTATTTTAAATTGTTTGGACTGATAGAATGCACGTATTGACATGTCTCAGGTGCAGAATAAGAGCCAGCAGATCGATAATCAAGCATTGGTACAGTTTCGTCATGTCTGGCTTATTTTAGACTTATGGATCTGTTTGGTTACCAGTAGGATTTAGCAGCTTGTTGTTTAGTAAATTTTGGCGTGATTAAGCATTTAAAATTGTGTTTCATGATAAAATCTTTTTAAAATTTTGGGTTTTAATGAAGGAGAAGAAGAGGCATAGTTAGGGGGAGCGGTGTAAATATCTCAAACTTTATTTTCTGCAGGATTTACTAAAACAGTAGGAATGTGGGATTTAAAATTGTAGTAGGAATTCGGCACAAAATTGGAGGATTTGCATACATACCACTCAATTCATATGTATTTAGATATATAACACCTAAACTCTAATGTTTACATAATTATCACCTTCCCTATGCATGAAAAGGTGTATTTCACTTCTTAAAAGCTAAAATGTGTGAAAAACAAAGTTTGGGCGTTAGATATGCAACTACATCGGAATCGGGCGGTATACTGATATGCATGTAAATGCCCCATTATTATTTGCAATATTTAATCTAAATTCTTGCTAAATCTTCGCAACTAAACGTTTTCATCGCTCAATACCGATTTATTTCCGCATTGGAAATTGTTAAAATTTGCATAACGTGCTTAGTGTTCTTACAGGTGCGTTGTGAGTATAGCATGAGTAACTTCAGCACAGGCAACCGTGCCAGAAAATATAAGGGTGACAGGTGAAGCTTGTCAAAATATTAATCACTTTTTCTCATTATATAGATATTTCAGCTACTTTGGTAAAGAGATTATAAGAATAATACAAAAACTTTGATATGTGTTCTAGGAGATCCACAGAAATATCTTTAGTCATAAGGCAGACAATGGAAGCAGCCATATTAACACATTTGATGCCGCGTTCTCAGGCAAGAATCTGAAACCTGTTGGCATTATTATTTAAGTGAGAGTCAGTATATGATTAATAGTTGCATCGTGTGATTAACAGATCGATATATTTCTTCAAGTACTCCAGGCTGATGGCGGTATGTATTTTATACTATTTATTTAATGTTTTTCTGCTACTTATGTAATTTATTTACGGGCATCTACATACACAACAGACAATTCTTGTTTATTTACATATCTAATATTTAAAATTTTATATGTACACACATAGCACTCGAATTTTTAATATCACATAATAAATGTCACGATTACCACTTTTAAGTGTGAAATACATCTTTTCATGTGTAGATTTAAAACATCAAAGTGCTATGTATATAACTATGAAAATTTTGGCGTGAGATTTGTAAATACATAAGAATTGTGTGCTATTGTATGTAAGTTCCCCATTTATTTAAAACAGAGTAATAAGTATAACCAAAGTTTCAGGTCTTAATGATTTTTGAAACATGCTAGCTGTCAAAGAATAAACCAGACATAAAATACTCAAGGCAAACGATAAAAAGATCTATGAATTTAAGAAGAGGCTTTTGGGATGTCATTTTTAGTGGATTTATTTTTATTTTAAATGTTATAACCAAATGAAGTTGAAGTTGGCTAACTAGTTAGATAGTAATCAAATGAAACTTGGCTTAAGCGAGAGTATTTATTGTTGAAAGCATAACAATTAATGAATAATGAATGAAAGGAACCACAAATTCAAATGCTAAATAAGGAAAATATGTATCATGGAGTCACATGCTTAACACGGGAAGATGAGTGACATGTATTCATCTGCTTAACATAAAAAATAAAGTTGTTTTAATTTTTTTGGTAATTTTGTTTATAAATACCCCTCGGGGAAATAAGAAAAAAAAGCTTGATGCTCATATATTCTTTCCTATTTTGTATTAGAGGAAGGTTAGGATTCTCTTTGCAAATCTTATTTTTACCTCTCTTCATTCTTTTCTTCATTATATCTGTTTTTTTTTTTTTACTTTCTTTTCGAAGATTTGACCAACATGAATGTTGAAAGCTAGCTTAAAAGGGAATTTTAGATGTTACAAATCTTTTATCATTTGAATGGTAGTAGTTACCTGAAGTGGTCTCAAATGGTTACGACCATTTTGAAAAGAAAGCAAAAAATCTATCATCTTGCTGATCATCATAAAATCTTAAAGACCCAATGTTTACACATTGGGCTTAGCAATTTCAATGATCATATCATGGTATGGAACAACACGATGCTTGGAATTAGTAGATCATACATGTTCATAACAGCTACAAAAAATATTTGGGAATGTGTCAAACAAATTTTCAAAAAAAAAATAAATATGTTTTTATCTATTAGTTCAAGACGAAGCTATCAACAACAACTTAGACTTCATTTGAAACAACGGCGTTGTTCACCGAATTTCTCTTAACAACTTTGTTTGTTGAATGGAGGAGATAAGCTGTGATTTAAAATAGTTAAAATTTGTTGTTTTTGCGAAGAAACTTCGGGAGACGTTTGTCTCCAACTGTTTGTCCAAACGAAAAATTTTGTAGAGGTCGTCATTCGCTCCAACCGAACGAAACTTCATCTTCTTAAACCAAGCATTAAACTAATATTCCTATCATTGATTATTTCAATGCTATAAACATCTATTGGCTAGATGGATTACCATCAGATCTCAAGATGAAGTGTGGTGATAATAATGTGATTCACAAACAATTTATAGAGCTAGAAAGGGCATTTGAGTTTCTTACAGAACTCGATAATGATTTTGATTAAGTTCATATTCAGATTTCGAGTAGAGAGAGAGAGAACCTAACATCCCTAAATGATGTGTTGTCACCTGGAAAAATTGAAGAATGAAGAATGATGATAATGCTTGATACTCTCAGATCTAAAGCATAGACTCTAACAATACTATATAAAAGTATTTTTGGAAAACAACCTTTGGTGCAATTATTGTAAGAAAAAAATGGCATATCAAAGATTATGGAAGATAGATATTGGGAAACTGGTGAAAAAGCCTCCAGACCATTTTGAAAAAGAAAAAGAAGGTCATTCAAAACGACAATCTTATCTTGTTAATTATATGGGCTCAAGTTAGAAGAAATTGATAATCTAACTTCGTCAATTCTCTCGAAAGCTTTTCATGTTATGCTCTCTAGCTCAAAACGGTGTAATTTCTAATTCCTGCACTTTTAATATTTTAAATGGTTACTTTAAGACTTAGATGGTAGATTCGGAAGCGATTGATCACAGTAAATGGTTACTTCAAGACTTTTACCAGCAATTGAAAAATAAAAGTAGTTGTTGTCTCCCTAATTACTATTGTAGGTTAGAAATATTCTTTCTTCTATTTTTACTCTTACAAATATACTAAATGCTCTTAACTTAGCAGTGAATCTTCTATCTGTTTATAAACTCACTAAAGGCCAAACTATAATGCAATATATTTACTAATTATTACTTAATATGAAGAAGACGATTTGACTAGTTAGAAAAAGGGATGAACTATACATATTTGAAAATAATAACTACTTATTATTTCCTTCATATCTATTCTAAATAAACAGAACATTTGGAACTATCATCATAGACTATTATATCTCTCCAATAAAGGCCTATAATGTATGTTCCTTCCTCTTTTTGTAAATGTTGATAATGAAAACTTCTATTTTGAGATTTTTGAATCTGCTAAATGTCTAGAGTTTATATTTTTTACGAGTGAATCCAAATATTCTATTTTTTTATGATAATTTACTATGACATTTAGGAATTTTAAAAGGGTTTTAATATGTTTGGAGTTAAAGGATTTATCACATTCATTAATGATTGCACTTAGATGGAATAGACCACCAGGAAATCTTTGTTCTTATTGCTAAAATAAATACAATTCACATCTTAATTTTCTTGGATACTAGCCTTGGATGGTCTATGTAAGAATATGATGTGAGAAATATATTTTTATATGGGGATATTGAAGAAGAAGCAAATATAGATTATTCACAAGGATGCAATAGTTCTCTTAAAAAAAATAAGGTGGGCTGATTAAAAGGGAAATATATGGTCTCGAATAATCTTTGAGAGGGCAAATTATAAAAGCTGCGTAAAGGATGAGATATAAATAAAGTTAAGGCCCTTATACATTCTTCATAAAACATTATTTCGATGAAAAGATTTTAATGTTTATTGTGTCTGTCGATGATACAATTGTTACTAGTGATGACAATAAATAAAGTGAATTATTCATGAAAACTCATCGCAGTGTTCAAAATCAATGAATCAACATGCTCAAATTTTTCTTGTTATAGAAGCGGCTCAATCAAAAAATGAAATCTTTATGTCCCGACAAAAGTATGGTATTGATCTTTTGAGTGAAACAAAAATAATTGATTGTATGCCTTGTGAAGCTCCAATTAAACCATGTTAGAAATTGATATAAGTGAAGAAATAGAAGTTGATATTGGACAATTATCAAAAATTAGTTGGGAAACTAAACAAGGCAAAAATTTCTCTTACATATAAAGTTTAAGGAATATCAACTCTAATTCTGTTACAATATCACAAACTTTATTTGAGACACTAGAAAATGAAAATGGAGGGAGGCTGAGAGACAATAGATTGTGGACCTACCAAAAGGAAAAATAGAAAGCGCAGCCCCAACATGGAGGGAGACTGATCCAATAAGAAATGCTTATAGAAAGCGCAGCCCCAACATTGCCCAATACAGTTTTTAACACCATGGCCCAACACAAAGGAATGTGGATGCAAAGCGTTGTGAATGAGCTCAAAAGCATAGGAAGAGTTAAGCTCTGAGATTGAAAAAACTTCATAAGAGGCTGAGCAGTACCATAGGCAAAGAGGGCAGGGATCATCCATGCTATATATTTGCCCGCCTCTTGGGATATTAGGGGATCTTGACCTATGAGTGAGAGAAGCTTCCCCATATAAATCCAAAGGAGAGAAATTGGAAGGCAGACTATTATGAGTGATAGAATAGCTCTGTATGTGTGGATTCCAAGCTTTTTGTATCGTTTTGCTCCATAAGCTTGCCCACAAAGAGTTTCCAAACCACTAGCCATTCCTAGCTGCCAATTTGGTTAAAAAAAAATCATAGAAAGCAATTGCTGATGCAGGAAAATGAAAAGTTATGTTTTTTTTTCTTCACTTAATGTGGACAGAAATGAAAATGAATAAGTTATGTTTATTTTCACAATTTTCCATTTTATTTGAAACTTAATGTAACGTTCCAAGCTTTCCTCTTATGCAAGGAGATCATAAACTAGAGTTATGATCAGACAAGTCCCAGCCACTCTTCTTTTATATTCAACAAACAATTCATTGCTTTTATAAGCAGAAGATGGCAATCAAATAGATACAAGATACATGAATAAATCTTTGCTCTTAGGGGAGGGGGATGAAGGGGGCGAACACGGTTCGGTGTCCGAAGCAGATATTTGCTTAGGGGAGGGGTATTATCGGCGAAAGCTCCCCACGAACGTTGGGACGCAGGGTGCTCTCCGCGGCCCGCTTTCAGCTGGAATCGCGTCTCGCTGCGAGCAGGACGCCGCGCCAAAACACGACAAATTGCAGGGCCAGGCCGCGAAGCGCTCTTGTCGCGGTCCCAAACGGGCCCTTCGTCTCATTTAAAAATTTTTAAGCTCTAATTATAACGAACATGAATAAATCTTTGCTCTTATTCATCTAATTTTAGCTCGAAAAGAATCATATAATCATTTATAATATATATATATATATATATATATAATAA